CCCAATCCGGGCTGATATCCATTACTCCACCATGACCCTCCCCTCAAAAAAAAATAAGAATGACAGATAAGAGCAGTAGTGTTGGTCAACAATCTGATCATGATATTTTTAACAATATATTTTTCTGCCTAAATCATTCATGTTCAAAGCAGAGCATAGGATTTCATCTTTGTATGGTTTACAAGATAAGGTGTGTGCAAAAGTTTTCAGTGTTTTTTTTTTTTTAAAATTTTTATTTATTTAAAGTAAATACTGTTGTATAGTTTTCTATAGTGTATTCAGTCTCTTGTCTTTATAAAGAGGGTGCTGGTAACTTTTGCACATATCTAATAAATAAATAAAACTAAATAATTTCAATTTTTTCAACTAATGTCCTTTAAGTGATGCCCATGTACATGTAAGCGGAGGTTGCTTTAAGATGATGAGGAAAAATGTATTTTAAGTTTCTGTTTATTATAACATTTCTAACAATGATTGTCTTTGAGTTAGTATTAGTCACTAAACAAGGAAGACTGCATTAAAATTTTAATGAGATATGTGTAAAAATAGTAAAAAATAACTATGAATAATTTAGTTTCTTCTATTTTATTTTTAAAAGATTTGTTTTTACAGATGTAATATTTTCTGAAAGATTTGTCTGCCTAAAGTTCTGAATACAATTTTGGAGAGATAAGTATAGTATATGTAATATAAACTCTAGACAACATTGATAATTTTCTTATATTTTTAGACATGATCCAAGAAGATAATAATATATCTTTTTATTTTATTCTCCCACGTTGATAGTTTGATATATAATGCTAACTCTATTTCTTGCAAGTCTAGAGGAAAAGTTCAGATTTGATTTTATAAATAGAAGCTTTTGAGATTAAAAAAATCAACAATAACCCATGACTTTTAGTTACTGTTTAGTAGGCCAAGAGCTTGCTTCCCCAATCACTACAATCTTAACCTGTTCATGTCCAGGTTTAACTGTTATCTTCCCCACATATCTGCATAAACTGTGATTCTCACTTTGTAGCCCTCTACCTTGACTAACACTCGGGCATTGTACAGGCTAAACATCACTGCAAAAAAAAAAAAAAATAGTAATATTGATGTTTGCAATTCTTGGATCATCTATGTTTTGGAAGTTAAGCTGACTTACATGTGGATGTAGTTTGTGTAATCCAAAACTATAATGAGAAAGCAGTTGAGTTGTCATTCAAAGATCAGCTTTAATCTTGATATCATAGCCATCAAAATCTGCAGTTTATGTCTTTCTAGTTGTGCAAAAGAAAATCAGCATAGTTTAACTGAATTAATAACCATCCTGCAAAAGTTAAAATGAAACCGTTTCCTTACCACTTAATGGATTGCATTTGGAATTCCTAAACTCTGCTAGACAATATTAGAAATAGATTTGCCAGGAATCTCTGTGAATGACTCTGTCAAAATATTGACTCTTTTAATGCTTAACTTGCCAAAGGCAGCTTTGTCTACCTTTATGGCTTTGTTGCTAGGGAATAATCTTGCAGAGTCAAAACTGCTTTATTTTCTGATCTCTTGTATTCACAAATCCGATTTGTCTGCTCTGTCAGATTTGAAAACAGATTCAAGTGTTAGGATAAGAATACACAAGGGTTAATGGTCAGAGGACAAACTTTCTATAAGTAATAGATAGTGAACATAAATTTGCATTTTTTTGTCGTTATGTAGTTATATCCTGTTGGCAAAGTATGGCTTTCTAAATATTTAGCATGTAATTTGGATCAGCATTAAAAATATCATCTAAGGATAATTATTATATAGAGATAAAAATCTAGTGATCTCAGGGCACTGTTAGATTAGGCCTTAATCTACCATTGGCTTATGGCCATATCATGTTGAAACATCGGTTCATCTATGATCATTGAAGCTAAGCAATGTTGCAACTGGTCAGTACCTTGACAGGTGACTGTTTGCGAATACTGTGTGCTGTAAGCATGGATATACGAGTGGTGTAATGGATAATGACTCAGAATTGTTAATTGGAGAGCCGAGTTCCAATTCCAGTTAGGTTTGTTGTATTCACTTACATGCAAATACTCTTGGTAAAGCTATGAATCCACCTCTTCTCCCCCAGTTATGGGTTAATTAGCAAGACTTGTCTCACTAAATCATTATGACTAAAAAAAAATTGTTACAATTTAAAAAAAATATTTTCTGGCTTAAAATAACCTGCAAAAGGGTTGATAAGCTGTAGAAAATGAATGAATCTATAAATCAGGCATTGAAATAAGCATCATAGTCTTGCAGAGGATAAGATTTCTTTAATAATTTAATCCTAGCAACCTGTAATCTGACCATTGCATCAGTAATGTTAGCAGTAGGACCAGATGTTTTTTGCTGAGATTGAAAAATATTTTAAGAAAAACAAATGCCAAACCAAGTTGAACATTAGACACTCTTTCTGCAGTAACTTGACATTTATATCTGGAGAATTAATAAAAACTTTTAAGATTGTTTACAAATACAAGCAATTCATTAATTGCCAACTATAACAGCTACATTTTCAATTTGTATATCTTGTTAAAATTTTTATTAAATTTTAAATGTAAAAATAATATAAAGTGAAACTGAAATGAAGAACAGGTGTTAAAGAAGAAAGTTACTGTTTTTCATTTAAAGTCATACAGAATGAAACACTATGAAAACTCTTTTTACTCTTGTAAAGAGAAATGTTTGATTGAGCATGATTGATTTTATATTTGATTCACATCAAATGGATTGTTTCATGTTAGACGTTGCTTGGATTATTTATTTCTCGATACTCATTTCATTTTATTTCTCAATACTCATTTGAGCATATCATGTATATTTTATAAAGTAAAAAAAAATGATTTTATAAAGTAAAAAAAGAAAAAATATGAACAATAAGATGTTTGTATCTTGCAGATTATCTATCTTTAGCCATCTTACTCCGATATAACTCCTCAAAGGAGACATATAAAATGAGTTTTGATTTATATAACTACAAGTAATATAGGAACAGTTTTTTTTTTTAAAAAAAATTTGTAAAGCACTTTCTGGTGCAGTGGGTTAGACACTACAGTTTGAAAATAAGGCTAAGTAATGGCTGACAGCTTTTTTTCTGAGTATACCTAACTGCCTTGTTGCAGACACCTGCTCAGGTACATTTGTGATTGTTCAACACCCATACAGCCAACCTGTGGTTTTACACTGCAACTATGCTGAGCAGACCTTAGTTACAGTTTTTTTGGGAGAGAGCATAATCATTTATGATCAATAGTCATCATCAAGGCCATCAAGTGTAAACCCTCAGTCAAAATGACTTGTGACTTCATGCTAGCACAACTGTTGACAGCTTCTTAACAGTTTTGTCTATCCAATTTCAATCAAAAGGCTTGGGTTAACTTGTATGGTTTTCCGGCACTTCCCGATAGTACCACACACTTGGATTCTCTCTAAAGTTTCAAGAAATCATTTGCTTGATAACTTGACCACAGTGAAAATTGAACCAGGGTCTCATGGTCAGAAGGCTAACTTTCTATTCACTTGGCCATCTGCCTAAATGTTTTTGAATACAGATAACTTCATTCCATGGCTCTTTGTATTTTTAGATTTACAGACTAATACTTTAATAAAATTTATTTTTGATATAACTGGCATAATACCATTTTGTGGGATTTATGTTTTTCTTCATGTCAAGGTGGATGCACAGTTGTGCTTTGAGGCAGAGATGTTATAATCGGTTTGAAATAAATGCTCAAAGGTTAAACTTATACTGAGGGGATGGAAATTGAAGAGGAAGATAGAGTAATTTGGTTTTAATTGTCTTATTTGGAAAATCATTGAATGGTAGGGAGTTAAGCTGTCATAAGCAGTGGAAATGACAGAAATATTTGTCATAGAATGAAGAGGAGAAATAACAAAGGTGATGTTCAGAAAAGAGTAATGAATGAAAGGAAGACCAAAGTAAAAAAGGGTTGACAATGAAAAAATAGGGAGAGAAAATGACGTAGGAAAGAGGAAAGGTATGGTAAGTGATAATGTAATAGGGGTTTGTTGAGGAATGAAGTAAACCTACAGTCATTACATAAGTAAGATTGTGGGGAGGAATTAGAGAGAAAAAAAGGGGGTAAGAATGGGATGGAAGAAAATAAGGGAGAGAATAAAGGGAGCAAGAGAGATAAAGGAGTAATAATGAAAATTAAGAAGAGAAATATAGAGAGGGTGAAAGAGAAACAGATATAGATGTAGAATAAGAGACATTATATATGTATTTTTTTTTTAATCCTCTTGATACAATGTATCATTCTAATTCTCTATGTTCAGAATTGATTTGAGACTAAAATGTCTTTCCTCCAGAAACTATCAAGTTACTCTGTTGAATAATAAAAGAAAAAAAAAATACTTCCATTGTCATGTGTTCACTCCAAACTTTTATGATGCATTTTTTTCCTTTCATTCAGATTGTCTGCTTCACGTAATTCTGATAAAATAAAGAAATTGAAGAATTTTTTTTTTTTTTTTTGATTACATTTAATTCAGAAGGTTTTTGAAATATAAGCTGCCTTACCCAGTAAATCCGGGCAGCTTTTGCATAGACATGGGCATTTCAGTATTAATCATTACACTTAAGTAATTCCTTCTTGGATTCACTCTTCCAGACTGTGACCATCACTCATTTCTGAGATTCTAGCAATGAAAAGATAAATATTCTGTATGATAAAATGCAACATCCAGTCCGATTCTTTAATTTTGAAAAAGCAAAATTAAGATTCCAGTTCACAGACACAATTAAGTCTTCCTTTGGTCATGAGTAAGTTGAAGATATTTTCAAATATGAAAATAAATTTCTATCAAAAACCTAGTTTTCAAATGTACATTTAGTTTCCACTTTTCAATAAAGAGCACAAGGAACTTTTCTCCAGCAACAAGCTTTACACTCTTGTAATAGCATCATAATTCAGCTTCTTCCTCTCTTAGTATGTATCTTACACACTGTCATTAGGCTTACAACCACATCATGTTGAAACACAGGTTCCCGTGCAATCACTGAAGTTAAGTAATGTTGAGTCTGGTCACTACCTAGATGGGTGACCCCTTGGGATTACCAGGTACTGTAAGCTTAAACGTGCAGGTGGTGTAATTGATAATTGCTCAGAATTGTTAATTGGAGAACCAAGGTCCAATTCCTGTTGGGTTTGTTATATTCACTTATGTGTAAATACCCGTTGGAAAGGTATGACTCAACTTCTTCTCCCCCAGCTATGGGTTAATTAGTAAGACTTGTATCACTGAATCATTATTATCTCAAAAAATAAATTATACAATCTAAAAATGTTTTATGGCTTTAAATAACCTGCAAAGAGTTGATAAGCTTTAAAAATGAATCGATTAATAAACCCTCTGCTATTATGTCATAAATAATGAAGATGATGAAAAACACATATCAGAGATACTGTTTGATTTCAGAATGAAAAAGGAATGTAAGATAGAAGAGCCAATAACACTCTCCTGTGTTTAACGTTTGCTACAGTGAAAATGAAAAAAAATCTGTCAATTTTGAATCTTTTCATTTGCACCCTCTTACTTCTCTAAATAATGACCTGTATTTGTACGTATGATCTTTACTGCAATATTTTGTTAAAATTGTAAAGCTCAAATATTGGACGATGCAATGGGGGAATTTTAACAGGTATTTTATAGTTGTAGCACTGACAACTTATTCATTCATTAACTTAAGAATTATGTCTATATTTCTGAGATGAGGTATTATGTACATTATTTACATTATTCAGACTATTGTCCTCATGTTTGTCACCATATTTATTACAACGTTTCGTCCGTTGTATGCTCCGGCACAGTAGATAAAGATGTTAGTTAGATCCAGTGACAGGATCCAAAGAGTGTGAGTTCAATACCTGGTTAAGGCAGTGAAGAACTTTCAGAGGGAAATTAACTGGAGATAACTGATAACTGACATCCATTAAAACATGGCATGTGGAACTAGAACAGTCTACCCCAGTTCGACATTTCAAACACCTGAAGAAGGCTGGAGCGTACAACGGCCGAAACGTTGTAAAAAATATGGCGACAAAGATGAGGACAATAGTCCGAATAATGTTAAGAATTATGATTAAGCAGAAAATTCAAATAGCAAAACCTTGAAATTTTCACATGTATTACTAGTTAATTATAATTGCAGAAACTTTAAACTGGTGATTCACAACAATATCAATTTGTGATATATTTTTAACTAGCTTAAAAACTGCCCTAGTAATTGGACCTTCAATCACAATTGGTAGGGAGTAGTAGAGCTATAGGCAGTAAACTACAGAAGAACTCAGAATTGATTGCTGGATTTAAGTATTACATTAATACTTAAGCATACCTTTTAAAAGTTCAGTGATAATTCTTCTGTTGCCAATTAATTTAAAAACAGTTTGATGTACACAGGATCTTACTTTTCGTACAAACAACAACTATTTTTATTTCATGGGTGATTTTTGCTGGATTTTGAAGTTAATTTTGATTATTCTAAGAATTATCATACAAAAAAATTTGTTGTAAAAAAAAAAATCACATAAAAATTGCCAAATGAAAACTTGGGAATCTAAAATTTCAGGATTGGGGGTCTGGATCCAGCTGAAAATGTTTTTAACTTCCACACAGATTTGACCTGATTCCAAAATGGTATAATGTGTTGGGCTATGGCTTCTAGGAGTAAAGTTGAAAAAGTGTGACACACTGACATTTGCATTTATTATATCGATGATTTCAAAAGCTCTGGATGCCAATTCTAGGCAATATGAACTTCAGCTGATTTTCTTTTTAACTCTACAGCCAATATCATTGCTAGTTTTGTGGATTCTTCTATGTGCCAAGTTCCTTCAGGACATAGGCGATCATTCCTCTCTACAACTTCCTATCTTTAATGTTATGCATTTGCAACATATAGAGATACGCAACCCAGGTTTTTGAAAAAAAAATATGTTCGTTCAGGTAGGGCATCATGATACAGGTGTCAACAAACAAAACACAAAATGAATGTTTGTAAACAATTTTATATAACAAAAACAATAGACTATGGAAAGAATATGAGAACAGATGTAAAATCAGTAAAAGACACTTATCTGATACTGGGTGTTCAAGCACTTGTGTTTCATGAATTTGTAAGTTCAAATGTTCATAATGACAAATAGACAAAATGTCCAAATAAAAGTTGGTAGTTCTTCTTTCCAACATATAAGCTGAATGACTCTTGGATGGTACGTGTACTTTGTTTCCTCTCTGGCAATCAAATTACATTCAAGATTAAATTGGAATCATTTCTCTTGGTATAATATTCTCTTATTCTCTGCACATCAAGTAGTTGAATAAGTCCATGATCCTTGGCAATGATATCTCCTCATTCCTTGCACAAGTAATAAACTCATAGGTGCATTTCTCATGTACGCATGATGGAAGTTGATTTACTCATGAACTGTTGTGGTCAGAGATTATCAGGAAACTGAAAATACAAATTCTCTAAGCCTTCCTGTTCATATGTGAGGAGATCATCCTGCATTTACTGCCATATAGGAGACTGATATTACATAACAGTTCAGTCCTCTTTGTTTCTAATGAAATTTTCCTGTTTCTTAATACTTGATTTAGCTTTTGAAAGTCATCTTTTTTCTATTCTGAACAAATAAATTTTTTAATGGTTCTGGAAACAGACCATGTTGAAATAAGTGATTATTTAACTGGTAATTATTGGTCAGACATGCAAAATTGATTGATATATAAGACAATGAGACATTGAATACCTCCTCTCACCCTCCTGTCACTTGTGGTAGCTTGTTGTACTGTTATCTGCATGAATTCTACTGCTGATAGTTGTTAGTTTGTTTTGTCAGTATTTCTATAAGTTTAACAGGTTATGTGCCCAGGATATACAATAGCTCACTTGATAATGGACGACTCTAATAATAATCAGTTGATGCCCCTTTGTCAATGCTTCAGTTCAGAACTTAGCTACTATTTTGTGACAGTGCTGTTATGTTCAGAAATTCTTCTCAGTACTGAGTTGTTTGTCTTTTTTGTAATGAACTGACAAGAATTACCACAGAATAGTGGCTTTATTCAAAATTGCTGTGCAAATATTATCACTGCTACTGTAATGTGCAAAGCAACCATGTTTTAAGAGTTCCATTAAGGGGTGATAATCATGGAAGTTTATTATAAAACTTTTGATGAAATAACTGCCCTTTGTTATGACTGACTTCAAATAGCTGAACTCTTGATTGAACGTGACACTAATTTAAATAGCTACAATTATGGACAAACATGCTTGATGGATCTGAGACTTTAATACTTTGTAAATGTTTAATATCAGTAAATGCAAATGTTAACTTTGTATATGCACAGGCAAAAGAAAAAAATATTATTTCATATTTAATGAATAAAAATACTGATGTCAGATTAAAAAAAAATTTTTTTTGAAACTGTTTTAAAATTCTTTTGAAAAAAGTTTTTTGGCACTGGATGATATTGGATATTTTTCGCTTAACATTTTTTTTTTACTGTAGCCTCCAAAAATATGGAAATTTTGAATAAACACTTGTCAGAAAAGAATGTCTCATGTATTACAGGGTGTAATTGATTTTATATTTTGACATTAATATGGTCCTGAAGTTTGATCCTGTGGAAAGAGATTCATTTTATAAACGGATCATGTGTACCTTAATGACAGATCTCTGTCTTTTAAAGCATAAACTAATTTTACAATTGCATGCAGTCAAGTGTAAACATTTTGTATTCTACATAGTTTTTCAATGGCGAGCTAATATCAGTAGTACAGATAGTGAAGGGAAAACTGTACTTCACGATTTAGTTGAATTAAAAAATTACACCAACTGAGTAACTGATAATAGATTTGATCTCTTTTTTTTACTGCTACTAGTCATTGCAATCATCACTATGAGGATGGTAACAGGATTAGTCAATATGTTTATTCTCCCTTGTAACTCTGTACTAGAGTCAGGCTTGTTTTATATTGATGTGATCATAAAGAGAAATTTGAGTGTATATATAGTTTGAGCCACTCTAAACAACTGTAGTTTGTCTATCAAAGTATAAAACATGGCTGCAAGTATAACAACTGCAACACACATATCTGAATGGATGCCAGGTGCTGTATGGTCCTGATTGTTTCATCCAGAATTGGGTAAAATCAAAATGAGGCTCATGATAAAGAAATACCAATCACTGAATTGTTCTTTAGTAACGATATACGGTGGAAGCATATTCAGAGCAACAATATCACAAGATTGTCTAATGAGGACCAGAAGACAGTTTGCAGACATGTGATCAATCTGAAGACAAACCTTTTTGACAGTTTAAGATTGATAACTTTAATTAAGTTACTCTATAGCAAAAGTTCTCACATGTTCATGACACTGACCTTTCAAACAAAGAATTTGAGAGTGTCAATATAGTATTTCTCAATTTGAAGCATTTAACAGTGTTGACAGCTTTATTGGCCAAACTGAAGCTAATGTACAGTTTTAAGAACAATTTAAACAATTACAAAGACGCTGTATTGACATAAGGCAGAAATTTGAAGATAAACAGTAATATGAAGTTAATTGAAACAATAATTACAAGTTCACATTTAAGTGAATTGTTGCTACCGTGAAAAACCAATCCAAACGCGAGTTTAAAATTGGCCAACTGCATATGCGATTAAAGGCAGAAAGAAATTGAAGATATAAATAATGAATAAGTGTTTCTGAGTTTCCAAGCAACGAGTTGCAGAGTTGGAATGAAGCAGAGCAACAGACTGAGCTCTCAACCAATTAAATGGTTTCTAAGCATTAAATCTGCTTTATTATATCTGCCATCATTTAGCGACATATATGCAACTAAATATCAGAAGAGTTTGAAGCTGTGAATAAAATGGGAAAACAAAAATATCTGAACAGAAATGGGAACAAGTAAAACAAATCTGTTTATATATAGATCATAAAACGTTTAGAAATTTTGGGGATATTTCAAGTTCTTATTTTGTTAATTTAATACAAGGAAATTCTATTTGTTTGATATCAAGATACATTTTATCTTCTGCAATTGTAACTGCCAGT